AATAGCTTTGATTTTATGGATCATCGTGATTTACATTAATTTGATAGGAGATGAAATTTGATTAGACAAAATAAAGCAGGAACATACTATGTGATGCTGATCAGTGCCATACAAGATTAACTTGTAGAATTTTGGTGCTCTCTGATTGAGATTGAGATTGAGATTGAGATTGCTCTCATTGTAAGTTTAAGAGACACATTTATCCCAAGTTTGCATGTAAGTTGTTCAACAGAATGACCGAATGGAATGGTTGGAGAAAATATACTGTCGATAGTTTTTATTATACTTTTTTCTTTAATTACTGATTATGTTCTGTAAACTGGTTTGTGAATAGGTTGAAAAATAAATTAGATTGAATCAGATTGTGATGAACATGTATTTGAAAATGATGTTAAATTCCATAAGCATTGGAACACCGACATCAGTTTTTGGTATTTTTTTTAAACAAAAGTACTATAAACTAATCTTACATAGATAAGTGTTACAATATTATAGATGCATTGACCCACTTAACTTCATGAAACATATGGTTAGTTCTCAGTATATATACTTATATATACACAATGCATCTATATATGTTTATATCTCACTCTAATAAGGTTTTCCACACATATATGCTACACACACATACCCACCATCAAAAGGGTCACCAAAATCTTCAGTAGTCTTTCTTGTGAAATCCATTGATCATCATACCCTGATTTCTGTGGATGACTTATACCAGATGGCGGTAGGGCAGTGACAGGATTATGATCAGAAGAGCCATTGAAGGAATCATGAGGTGAAGATAATGGCGACAACTCTATTGATGGATCAGGAGCTGGTAAAATGGAGGCGAGAGGAGGTGGGGTGATATTAGAGGGAGAAGAAGGCAGAGGAGGAGACAAGTGATTATTTTCGGAAAAGTTTTTGACCTTCAGCACACCATCTATTCCATGGCATCTAATGGAGGATCCTGCTGTGCATATATTTGGCCTGATGATCTTCACATTGTTGAGGAAGAAACTATTCCTACCCCCGTTGGAGATTTTGAGCACGTAATCAGGTAACAAGCTAGGAATGGTCGAATCCGTCGGGATGTGATCTAAATGCTCAAAAATAAGAGGAGACGGGATTGAATGGCAGAGGAGGAAATCAGAAACTTCAGCAAGAGGAATCACAGTTTGGGACAGAACTCTATCCTTGGGCATCAAGAAAGTGATATTACCTAAAACTCTGGGATGGATAGGTGGCATGTTGAGGAGCATTGTGAAAGTAAAGTAGTTGGCTCGTTGCATCTCTTGAATCGCGACAAGAATATCTTGTTGTGGGGAAGGACTATTGATAATGGCGGTTGGAGTTGCAGAGGAGGAGTTGAAGATGGTGGTGGCCATGAGAAGAAGAAGAAGAAGAAGCAATAAGGTCATGTAGTAAGTTGCCATACTGATATAATAAGACTAGTAGAAGAATGTGAGTGAGAAGATGATTTGTATTGAATGTTATTAATGGGAAAACAATGAGATTAGCTGAAACATGCATATAGTCTCCTTCAACAACTGCCTTCATATTTTTTGCATTCATTTGCATCGTGCATATATTATATATATATATGTTTATACATATATATTATATACACACACATATATGAGGAAAACAGAAAAATGAGAAGAGGATAAAAGCAGGAAAAAAAGATTCTAAGGCCCAAAAAGAAGGAAAAAAAACATTTAAGTTTCGGGGCATTCCGAGAATTGAACTCGGGACCTCTCGCACCCTAAGCGAGAATCATACCACTAGACCAAATGCCCGTTTGTTGAAAAAAGTGTTGGTTTAATTCTATATTTTAATACCCGTCACGACTATAAATTATAATTGCTCATATTTTAGTTTAATGGTGTCTTGAATTCCAGAGGTAGTAGCTCTCTTCTTCCGTTCCTCTCTGAAACCAAATTACTATTCCATGAATGTCGATGAAGGATGATACAGCATAAGCTGTTTCGCTTTCAGATTAGTTTACGTTGTAATTCATTTTTAGTTTTTCTTTAAAAGTAAGCGTCTTTGGGTTTGTAAGCTTTGGTTTTCTCCAAAGCACATTACGTGTTCGATACAATGCCTGTGTCGAGTCATTGCCATAGGTTTCTTTTTCTAATCTATATCTTCCATTTTTTTTTTCCTTCAGGAGGATATAGGTTTTGTTTATGCGAGAATTTCTCATGCTGAGGCAAGTGGTAACCAAGGTTTTTAGCAACAACAATGGGGTTCTTGCTACTAGAGGACGCAAGCTTACAACTTGCTTGTACATGGCCGCTTGTGGTTTCCATGGGGGAAAGGTTTGTGTTTTTGTTTCTGTTCTGTTATTTTTCTGAATACCCAGTTGATCTTTAATTTAGTTTACCTCAATTTAAGACTTTGCATCCATCACTACACGGTCATTGTTTGTTTTTTTCCTTTTCTGCTTTTGTTAGAGTTTAGCGTCTGAGAAAAGGCATTCTTCTAGGCTATGTTTGGAAAAAAATCAATTCTGCTTGTAGATTCATTTTGATAAGCTTAACTCTTATCCGCTTGTAACATCTTATGGTCAAAATAAGTGTATTTCCTATATGCAACTCTCATTTGTTCCAAACATGGACCTAATGTCAGTTTTGTTAAGGTGGAGTTGGGAATTGAAGAGATTCTTCTTGGGTTTTAATACAATACGTTAAGGTTTTAATGGTGATTAGTTTATATTGTTAGTTATGTTAATTTATTTTGCCACGTAGGACCGTTACTTTATTTAACACGCAGACCTCATGTTAGCACTAATTTTCTGTTACATTTTACGCACTTCTTCCTTTCTTTCTTGTATATAAATGAACAGCAGTTTCTGCTTCAATCATAAAAAAAATACAATACTACAATTTTAAAATTCAAATTTTCCTTTCTATTC